TTTCAGCTGCCCAATCGCGTCCTCGACGTAACTCCTGTTCGCCGCGTCGGTGCCGATCTCCGGCACGGCCACTCTTCGTATCTTGCGCTCCTTCGCGTCGTAAAAATCCTCGCTCATGAAGAGCGCGTTGTTGCGCGCGTAATTGCGCAGGGACTCGATCGAGGAGCGCAATCTCACCGCGGACGCACCGTCGACTCCGTCGCCGCTGCCCCGATTCGTCAGAGACATGCCGAATTTGTTCACGGACATCGCGCTGGCGGGCGCGCGACTCGCACTGACGTCGACCGACGCGACCGATCAATTTATGACGAAGCCGGCTTCGCGAAGTTCCTCGATTATCGACAGGATTTCGTTGTCGTGAGCATCGTTGCCGGCCCGACGAGAGGCGTCCAACAATCGAAGTCTATCGACCAGCTCGTTGGGATCGTCCCAATGAACGTAATCGATAGCGTTGTCGGTCAGTCGCATGGCCGACGGTAACCCGGCACCCTTCGTAGTTCCAACTGTGAGAGACAGGTTTACGAGCGGCGCTATTATATTTTTGTACTTCGGTCCCTTATTGCCCTTGACGGGATTGTCAGCTTTGCCGCCGCGTTTGTGAGCGCTGGTGGAAAAAAGTATGCTCCTGTACGTTAATTTGTCCTTCTCCGTGTAGATTTTAGGGTCGGGTTTTCCCATGAAGATCAACTCGTACAGACCGCGCGTGCCTTTGTACGGTACACCGGCGATGACCATGGTGTCATCCGGTTTTAGCTTGAATCGCTTGTTTCCCAGCATCGCGCCTTTCTCGCCGTAATGCACTCCGTAAACGGTGTCGAGCTCCTTGTTTTTGTCGCCGCCCAGAAGAGCGCCCAAGTATTCCCGCCCCAACGGTCCTAGTTTGCTAGTCAGAACGTCGCGATTTTCCGCCGTACTCAAAGATTTATCGGCGGACGTCTCCAACGTAGGAGGCGGAGTTGTCGTTTCCGATACGATCTCGCGTTCTCTGGGTAACAATTGGACCAAATCGTCGCGGATCGGCGTGGAGCTCATCGTGGTCGTCGTCGCGGGAGCCGAACTCAGCCGTGCCGGACGCGATTCTCCTTTTTCCGCCGTCGCGGTTGTCCCGATTGGCGCGAATACGTCGTCGTTCTCCCAGTAATCGCGCTCCAGGTCGGCGCCAGCGTCGTCGTCGTCGTCGTCGTCGTTGCCGTTCTCGCTGTCCTTCTTCGCTCTCTTCGTCGCTTTCATCTTTTTCGGGAACGCAAAGCCAGCGCCGTCGTCGTCGTCGATTTTGCCCGGTCCTTTACCTCTGCGTTCTACGTCATCGGCGAGCCGTTTCAGAGGTTTGACGATAGGCTCGTACCTCTTTTCCAGAGCGATCTCGCTTTCCATTTTTCCGGCCCTGAGAGCGGCGTACTTTCTGCGAATCGAGGCGCGCGTCTTGGCTATTTCTCGCGCGGTTCTCTCCTCCGCGATCGTGCTCATACTCGCGTCGTTCGACGAGGCGCACTGATCGACCCTACAGCACGGCGAAATCGTGGAAGCCCCGTCTGTACCGTCCGCCTCGCAACGCGCTGTCCTTGTCTATCACGGCGAAACCGTAGGCGCGCCGCCAACACTCGCGACAGAAGGCGCGAAATTCGTCGTACGACATGTCGATGTTCGTGATCGTCGTACACGTGTCGCAGATTGGTGCCGTCCTGCCTGAACAGGATCAGCAGATTTGCGTTGTCGCGCACGAGATGTTTCGGTATCTTGGCGTACGTCTGACAGAGATAGAAACAATCGATATTCGAATGTCGACCCATAGAAAAGTACTCCCTCATTCTGTCTTGCTTGTCGCAGGCCACGTCGTCGAAGATGAAAACCGAGTCGGGAAGCGCCTCGTCGGGCGGAACGACGTCGCGATTGTCGGAAAACGCGTGATAGCCGATCTCGTCTATAGGCTCGAACAATCGTTCGAGATATCGATACTTCGGTTGTTGCAGAGATTTCGAGTACACGTATACGTTCTCGAAACGGAGACCGTGCGGTTGTTCCAGCAGGCTCAGCAGAACGTTCGTCTTACCGCAATTGGAGGGACCGCAAATGATGCAACGGACGACGTTCGGAAGGAGAGGACCGTGCCGGCGCGATTCTCCGTTTCCTCTCTCGGTCGCGGCCGACCCCGCCGACGTTTTGTGATCCAGATTCGAGACTCCTAACGTCGCCGTCTGTCGCACGAATCGCATGTTTGCCTTCTCTTTCTCTCTTTCTCCCTCGAGTTTTTTCGCTCGGTTCGTTCGCGATGAGTCTCTCGATCGCTGGAAAAAAAGAGGGGGAAGCGCGGACGTCGTTTCGTTTCGTCGCGCGTGCGCAAACGCCTCGCGCGCGGGTATAAGTAGCGCGAGCGTGTTGCCGTATTCGTAGAAAAAAATTTCCTAAAATCAACGAATCGTTCGCGCGCATCGGTGAGATGTCTCACAGTGGTGTGTTTCCCATACTGGTGGACGGTTACGAAATTCTCAATCTAACGGTGGAAGAGTTGCAATACATTCCAAAGATCCTTCTGTTGCGTCAATTTGGGAGATACGTGCACCTGTTGTGGGACCGTTTGCCGGAACATATACAAGCGGATCCCGAGGTGCAGAGATATCGCCCGTGCATGCGACACTACAATCGTCCGTGGTAGCGAACGCACATAGACGGTCCGCCGCCGCTCATCAAGGATTGCCACGAGTGCAATCGCTTTCGCCCTGTGAACGGTGTATCTTCGATTTCCCGTTCGAATTAAGAAGAAACGAATGCTTCTCGCGCAACCGCGACCGAATGCGCGGCACCGGTCTGCTCAATCGCGCGATAAACGCTCTTCCCTTCGAACTGCACATACCCGGTTATCAGTTCTGCGGGCCCGGTACGCGTCTAGCGAAGAGACTAGCGCGCGGCGAAGAAGGCATCAATCCGTTGGACGCGGCGTGTCGGGAGCACGACATCGCGTATTCGCGAAGCGGCGAGCTCGCCGATCAATGGCTCGCCGAGAGGGCGCGCGAGCGCGTCACCGCGAAGGATTCCACGGCCGGTGAGAGACTCGCCGCGGCGGCCGTATGGGCGGCTATGAAAACGAAGACGAAGCTGGGCATGGGTATGGAACGCAAAAGAAAAACGAGAAAAGGAACGGGAGTGAGGAGAAGCGCGAAAACGAGAAGGAAGAAGCGGAGGATACTTCCGACGGCGAAACGCGGCGGCTTCTTGCCCTTTCTACCGATGTTGGGCGCTCTCGGTTCCTTGATCGGTGGCGCGGCCACCGTGGCCAAAGCGGTGAGCGCCAACAAAGCGGCGCAAAAACAGCTCGACGAATTGCAGCGACACAATCGCGCGATGGAGGGTCGCGGGTTGTACCTCGCGCCGTATAAGAAGCGCGGAGGTGGCGCGAGGAGAGTCGGCGAAAAAAAAAAACCTCGCGTAAAAAGGCGAGGTTAGCGCGTCTACCTCCGTACGGCGTCACGACCGACAAACAGCTCGATCGAGCGGCGCGTCGCCTGCGCGTGCCGTTCTTCCGCGGGGTGTTCATGCGCGACGCTCTACCGACGAGGGTGCGACGCGCGGAGTGCGGCATCGTGAATCTCGACGACGCGGTGGGCCCGGGCACGCATTGGGTCGCTTACGCGAAAAAAGGGAACTCGGCGATCTACTTCGACGCGTTTGGAAATCTCCGCCCGCCGAGGGATCTCGCGCGGTATCTCGGCGACGGTGGCGGCGAGAGCACGATCGTGACGTACAATCGTCGCGCGTTCCAGACATTCGATCAGAGAATCTGCGGACAGCTGTGCCTGCGATTTCTTCGCGAGATCGATTGGGGGGGAGCGGGCGGACGATCGACGTTCTCCCGCGATGTCGCTGACGCTCACGTTGACCGGGACCGGCAGCGTTCTCACGGCGAGTCACTTTCCCGCTTTGGATCTGAGCGACGGCGAATACGAGCTTGGTTTGACGACTTTTGAAACGTACAATTCGATACCGAACGTTACGTCCGCGAACAATCGTTTCTACTACGGCAAGGATGACCGGCGAATCGTCGTTCCGGAAGGTTCGTACGAGCTACGAGCCGTGAGCAAATATCTGCGCGCCGCTCTTCTCCATCGCGAACGTCGCGCCCGCGAGAGAGACAAAAGTAAGGAAAAAGGAGGAAAATCGCGGACCGACGACGCTGGACGGGTAAAAGAAAAAAACCGAACGGAGAAGGACGAAACCAACGACGAGATTTATCGCGCATACGTGGACGAAGACGACGACGACGATGACAAAGATGGCAACGGTTATGACATATACGGGGACGACGACGGTGGCGACAAAGTGCTCGATCTTCGCGCCAACGAGAATACCATGAGAAGCGAGATAAAGTGCGCCTACCGAGTGAATTTTACAAAACCGAACAATATCGGTTCTCTTTTGGGTTTTTCGAGCGATCGTATTCTAAAACCGAACAATTGGTACGTTTCCGACGGACCCGTCGACGTCATGAGCGTGAACATAATTCGCATCGAGTGTAGTATCACCGCGGGAGCGTACAGCAACGGACGCTCGGTGCACGCGATACACGAATTCGCGCCGAAAGTTCCACCGGGATATAAACTGTCGGAGACTCCGACGCAGATCATTTACCTCCCGATCGTCGCGCGAAACGTCACCGATATCACGGTGCGAATCGTGGATCAGAAAGATCGGCTGATCGACTTTCGCGGTGAGGAGATAACGATCAGATTGCACGTACGTCGTCGTCAAGGTTAGTGTGTGTGTGCGCGTATCCCTGAAGAAAGAGAGAGCGAGAGGAGGGATGCTCGTTCTGAACGGATCTAGCGCGAATTGTACGAACGAGCGAGCTAGCCCGTTCTACAACGAGATCGGAAGCGTAGGAAAGAGAAGAGGCGGAGGAGGGGGACCCGTTCTCAGCAACGCCAACGTCAGATTCCTACGATCGTTGGGTCTCGCCGTGAGAAACGCGTCACCGTCGAACCATTTCTACCTCGAGAGGAAAAATCATGGCCGACATCCTGAGTATCGGCGGTGAGCCAATCTTCGACGAGCGCATCGTCGGAATAGAGACTCACACGTATAACCCGTACGTCAACACGACGTTCGGACACAACGACGAGATACGAATACCCATACAGCAGCAGGATCTGTATACACTGCCGTGCGAAAGTTTCCTGTACGTCGAGGGACGACTCAATGACGACGGCGCGACGAATGGGGAAGAATACGCGAAATTAGTCAACAACTGCGTCGCGTTTATGTTCGACGAAATTCGTTACGAGCTCGACGGCGTGGAGATCGACCGGTGTAGAAACGTCGGCATAACCAGCACGATAAAGAACTACGTGTCGCTGACCGTCGAACGAGCCAGAAAACTGCAGAACGCTGGATGGAGTTATCCGACGAGCGAATCAAATCTGAACAACGCGTCCCATCAATTCAATTTTTGCGTACCTTTGAATATTCTTTTGGGTTTCTGCGAGGACTACAGACGCGTGGTGATAAACGCGCGACACGAGCTTATCCTGATACGTTCTCGTAGCGACCACAACTGCGTCGTAGATCCGAAGAAGACCGTGCCGAGAGATCCGGCCAAAGATCCTAAAATTACGTTATTGAAAGTGCAATGGCGTATGCCTCACGTGGCGCTGAACGACGTGACTAAATTATCGCTGTTGCGAACGTTGGAGAGCGGACGATTTCTGAGCGCGGGCTTT